ATTGAAGAAAAGATGCCTACCAACATTGTGAGAAGGAATTTCCTCACCTGGAAATTCCTTATATTAATGAAATCACAAAGCCATTCCCTATCCCCTGTCTTCACAGTCACCCTGCGAAGAAGGTAGAACAAGTTGTTACATCCATTTTACAGATAAGCAGAGACTAAGAGAGGTTGTATCTAGTTAGCAAGTGTCAGTGGTGGGATTTGAACCCATGTTTCCTGACTAAAAGTTTATCATCTTTCCTTTATATTCCATTTCTTCTCTAATAAAATTGTTTCTCCCTAAAGTGAGGAAACCACTTTTTATAAACTGTTTCCATAAATGTATTATAAAGAATTCTGTAAGGAAAAAAATAGCTACCTTAAGAATCCAGATTAAAAAAAAAAATGTTAGAAGTCTACCGGTTACTAAGTGATTATTAGTAAATATTCTGATTTACCTGCTCACTTGCCTTGTCCCAGTGCTCCCCATGACCCAGAGCTGGTCATTTAGCACCTTCTGTGGTCAAAGCCAGAAATTACTGCCATGGGAACTCAGGTGTAACTTGTTTTAAGTGTTTCTTTGTAAATGGAGATTAAGAAATAAGTAAGAGATCCATTAGGAATTGATCAGAAGAGAAAAGGTATTTACATTCTGTTCAATTTAATGTAGAAACATTTATTATGCATCTGTTACGTATAGTGAGTTGACTGTGGGAAGGGAAAGAAATGGGAGACAAGGGAAGATGTAAATTCTCTGCCCAAAAAGATCTTCCAGGGGAAGCTTTGAATCAAGTCTTGATTGGCACCATCTCCCTCAACCTCTGCTCTGTTTGAAAGGCTGGATGGCTGAGTTCCAAATTCCTCCCAGTGTCTTTATACAGAGACTAGACTTGCAGTTCATTCCACTTTGCATCTGTTTCTCTGCCTAGTTTCAGCTCCACATGGAACAAGATGCCCACCACAGAAGACACCATCTAGAGTCCCAATCCTATCTCCTTCTGTATGTTGTATCCCTCAATATATTATAAGCTCTTTGAGGACAGGGATTGTCTTTCTTTTTATTAATTGTATTCCCAGAGCTTAGCACAGTGCCTGTCACATAGTAGGCACTTAATAAATGTTTATTGGATTGGATTAAAGGAATAAACTGGAAAGATTAGTAAAGCTGGTTTACAAGGAACCCTTTTTATGATTAGAAAAATATTAGTCTAGAGGACTGTTGGTATTCAGAAGTACAGAAATACAGGTGGCTATATGTTAATACTTTAAGGTTTGCAAAGTACTTTGTATTTGTTATTTCTTTTGACCCTCACAACAACAATCCTGAGAAGTAGATGCTGTTACTATTACCCCAAGAACTCTTTCACTACATCAGAGGTTCTCAAACTTATTTGCTTATCACTGTCTTAAAAGAAAGGCCAGTTGATGGGATTATAGCCTCAGGCAAACACCAGAGATTTGGCCAGGTGGGAAAGTCCCGGGTTTTTCCTTTATGGGATTTAGCTCCCATCCTCATCACATGCACAGGTGCATTGGTAAAAGGTAACCCTAACCCTGAGACTTGCCCAGGGTCACACAGCTAGTAAGTATCTAAGGTTAAATTTGAATTCAGATCATCCTGATTCTGGGTCCATTGCTCTATCCACTATGCCACCTGACTGCCTCTGCTTCTTTTATCCTTCCTTCACTGTTTTCTTATCCTGTCTCCACTTGGGCCTTCTCTTCTGTTTTTCTGCTCTTCTTAGAGTGGTTATAGATGTTCATAACTTCAACTATAACATCAATGCATATAACTCTCATGGTGCTATCTCTTCTGACCTCCTCAATATCGACAAGATATTATCTATGCTCCTCAGTCTGGCATTCAAAACACTCTACAAACTGCTCTCATTCTCTACTTCTCCAACTTGTGTCCTAATCCTTTCCCACACAAGATCTCCTGTCTATCAAGAGTGGTCACCTTATTGTCTCTACAAAGATGCTTTCCTTCATATTTGGTCCTGCTGATCCCTACCGTATGGAATGCCCTCACCATCTACACTCTCTGATTGTGCAAATCATACCCTCCTCCAGGGACCAGCTAAAACCCCACTTTCTCCATAAGGGATTCATTTTTTTGTCATACATTCAGCTCATGTTCTTTTCTGAAATTGTAATCACAGTATCTCATAATGGAGAAGGATCTCAAAATGCCATTGAATACAAACCAAACCAGAACAAAAATCCTCTTGGAAATATGTCAGACAAGCAAAATTCCAGTTTTTGCCCTAAGATACTGTGAGGAGGAATCAACAACTTCACTAAGAAGAGCTTTTCTCTTTAGAGGAGTATTAATTGTGAGGAAGTTGGGTTTTCTTTCCCTTATTTCATTCTTTTCTACAACTTTTCATTATACCTCCCCATTCCCAAGTCTTCTATGTGTCATATAACCTCTCTTAACTTTAATTGATCTTCATTTGGCAAGATTTACAGGACTTTCACTATCATATTTGGACTCTTCTTTATTTTCTCTAGTATATCAATGAGCTTCCTAAAATGTGATGCCCAGAACTGAACACAATGCTGTAGATGTGGGGACTGACAGACTACAGATGGCTATCACCTCCCTACTCCTGCCCACAATGCCTCTCTTAATGTAGGTTAAGTTTGCATTCACTTTCTTGGCTGTCACTTTTGACTTACATACAGATTCTAGCCCACTGAAATCTTCAAATATTTTCTTCAGAAAAACTGTCATCTAGTCACACCTCTTCAATCCTAAATTGGTGAAGTTGATTGGTTCTCCCACCTCCCAGCCCCCACCCCCTTAATGTAAGGGTAAGATTTTTTTCATCTCTTTTAAATTCATCTTATTATTTCTGGCCCAACAGAACTAGGCAGAAAGCATAACTTTTTTTTGATCTTCCATTGATTCTTTCATTTACTCAAGAAGCACTTATTGAGAACTGCTGTTATGCTTAATATTATTCAAGGTTCTCTGCTATTCACTAGAGAAACAAAGAAAAAAAATGAAACATAGCCCCTACCACAAAGATTTAAAAGTGTAGAGTTCTTAATTTTTGCCAGTAACTTCAACACTTCTTCAGCCCCTATTTCTCCATCTTTTTAATGTTTTGTGAGTTATGGATGTTTTACTGTAATGTTTGTTGTCTTGATTCTTTCAATCTCTAGTTGCTGACATAATGAAATTCTAAAGACATTTTGATGGTTTATAGGGACAACAGGATGAAAATCTTGAAGTAGCAATTGTTCAGGAAAATGTAAGCCATATGGTCCTCATATCTACAGTGCTCAGCTAACAGATAAATGGCTTTTTGCTTAAAATGAAACATAAAAGCACATATATGACTTTGAGAATTCAACTTATGATTTTTTTTTCTTCTTTCTTAAAACCTTTATGCCTTTCTGTGTAACTGAGATATCTTAATATACATGATCAGGACAAATTTGAACTAATATGTTGGATATATTAAGGAGTGATAGAATATTATCTACACATTTTGTATAGTCTTTGAACCATGTGAAATTGATTTATAAACCTTTCTAGTAGTCTTAATAAAAGCTAAATATGCTGCAAAAAGATTATATGTATGTATCTATATTATATATGTTATATGTAATATATACATATATTTCTGTTGTTAATATAACTTAAAAGATTGAGAATGAAATGCCCTTTCTTATCAATTTTTGTACTTTTGTAATTTAGCAAACATTGGTTTTTTTAAAAAAAATCTTATGTTTTAACAAAGAAAACCCAGCATGTTTGGCTTTAGAAAAAAATAGTTATCTTCACTTTCAATGCTCTTTTATGCATTACAATCATAATGAGCAATGATTTTCAGAAATGCCTAAAAGATTTTTTTTTAAACAGTCACAAAAGATAACATAAGCATTTGGGCAATAGAGGAATCAGTTCCTTCTTTCTAAGGGCTATTATTACCACAATGGAAAAAATTATTTTTGTTGAAGAATAATGTTTTCTAAAGCCCCCACCAAGCAATCAAGGATACTGGATAAACATAGCCCAGCTAAAGTGTACTTAGTTTTTAATTGTTATTCATATTTACAATGAGACAAAGGCAGTTGTATATTTGACCGGGTTGGATAGAGGAAGGTACAATGTTTTATTATTTATAAATATATTATATTTATATATAAATAATAAAATAAATGTTTATTCTATATATTTTATGTATTTTATATAAAATTGTACATATTTTATATAAAAATAAATATGTATTTTATATGAATATTTATATATAAAATAATAAAATAAATATAAATATATTTTTATATATTTATATAAAGGTATCCTGTTTTATTATTATTGTTGTTGTTGTTGTTGTTATATTGCTACATATGGTAAGATATTTTTTTCATGGGGAAATGGGGTAAAATTCAGCCATCCAGGAATCTTGAAGTTTTCAGTCTAACAAGATCCACTAATTAGTTTGTTCCCAAATCACTCATGTTTTTCAACAGGAAAGTACCTGCCTTGGGGAAGGATTGGAGATGAGGTACTATTTCAGGCTGTAATATGTATTCTCCACCATTCCATGATTTGTACAGGTAGAAATAAGGTCACAAATTTTTGGTTTAATACAGAAGGATCATGCTATAGTAGAAAGACTTTGTATTTAGAGACAGAAGACTTATTTTAAATCCTATGTTGGACATATAAGTCACTTTAACTTCTTTGGGCCTCAATTTCCTCAGTTAGGCTAATTGATATCTCAAGCCCCTTCTAGCTCTAAATCTATGTGCCAATGAACCTAAGATCCACGCTTAATCAATGTTTATCAGCAATTTTTCTGCAATTTACAGTCTTAGTTGCTTGATTCTCTGAGAGATTAGTTATATAAATTAATATATAATTAAATACCTAGAGTTACATGGTGTCAGAGACAGTACTTGAATCTATGTTTTTTGGACCCCTCAAACCATGATGCCTCTGATGTAGATATGCCATAATGTGGATAGCATATGAATTTACTGATTTGTTTTCCTTTGCAGGATTTGATTGCAGACTTAAAGGAGAATCTTTCAGGGCATTTTAAGGATGTTATGGTTGGTCTGATGTATCCACCACCATCTTATGATGCTCATGAGCTCTGGCATGCAATGAAGGTACTTCTCCAATCCCCCAGACCCTGGGAACTACCCTCAGATACTGTTTGCCTGTAATCACAAGCATTTTTCTTGCTCTCTGACATTTAACAGGATTCTCGATTGTTGTAAAGTCCATTTCTAAATGAACCGTAATGAGAAGTGAGAAATACATTGTGCGATGTGATTTATATATGTTGTCATATTAAGGAGGGCAGAAGTAATATTCTGCTCTTTAAAAAGTTGGTAATCATTTTAGCACATCAAGTACAAATAGAAAACAGTATCAGAAATGAAATGTTTATGCCATGTTTTCTATTTATTTTGATAAGACCTTAAGTTTCTCCTTTATGAAATAATATGCTTTCCCATGTATCTGAATTTCCATTTTGAACAATTGAGGGTTTTTTTTCCTTACAAGAAAGTCGTTTCTTAAAAATGAAATAATTATAGATTCTGTTTATGTTTTTTTGTTGTTGCTGTTGCTTGGGGATTGTGTATTCCTTCTTACTTTTAAAGCCTATACTCAAACTCCAGTAAGACTTCTGAAATCTTTCCAAAATTAGTTGGCAGAGGAGATTATCGCAGTCTATGAACAGAGGGTATCTGGGGCAAGACCAGTTGGTAGTTGTCATTTAGGGCCAGAATAAACATCATTAAAATCTTTTCTACATTTGGAACTACTTTATGTTTTATTAAAATACATGTCAATTTTATTAAAATACATGTCCACCTTAGGGATTTGGCTAAGACCTATAAAATACATACGGAATCAAAGCTTAATCAGTGAATTCAAATCTTACCATTGATTTACAATCATAATTTTTTATTGATCACCATTACAATCAATCAATAAACATTTATTAAATATCCATATGTGCCAGTCAATGGCACATATCTCTGGGGATTTAAAAAATAAAAGAGGCAAAAAAAAAATCCCTGCCCTCAAGGAGCTCACAATTTAATGGATTATGATTCTGAGGAATGGATTCCAAGGAACAGAAAGTATGACTAGATATTTTCTTTAAAAACTCAAAAGTTAAACAAAATAGAAAGTCAATGAGTGGTGGTTAGATTGCTAGATAAGAAGCTCTAGGTTTAAATCTCTATTTCTCATTCTATTACTAATTGTGGCCCTGGGCAGAAAGCCTCAGATGACTCCCTGGGGCTTATTTTTTTTAACGATCTGCATGAAAGGAAGGAATTTCCCACAACAATAGGACCTTAGATCCTCCCATAGTCACACTTACAAAATACTATCAAAAACTCCTAAACCTAAGGCAGGGCTACTACAGAGCCATTCATATACAGTAAGTACAACAAAAGGAAACTATTCATTTTATTGGGGAGAAACCTTCAAATTTGAAAAATTTAAAATACTACATAATTGATATTATTATCATTATCATTACCATTACTATCATAAATTGATCACAATGAAGTAGGACAAAGTATGGCTAGGACTGATTTTTTGACATCCAGTCCCCTCCCCACCTTATAGTTCTGATTAATTTTTTTAAAAAAAAAGGAGTTCATGCACGGAAATTTCTATTTCAAAGATGGAAATGATGCAGTCTAGAGGTTAGGGGTCCTGGAATCCCAAAATCATGACACCTGAGTCCTGCCCGAAAGAATTCGACCCAAGCCTTTTTCCAGGTTTATTAGAACATCTGTCATATTGGGCAGATTCTTAAGGAGTCTGAACATTAGTGAGCTATTGGCTAGATTGTAAGAATCTAAGCATCTTAACTGAGAGAAGATGGACCTTATATATAGAAAGACTATGGGAGGGATCTAGGAGTAGCCAAGTAGTCTATGAGGTAATAGAACTCCGGGACATGGACAACTAGGCCAAGGGAGAATGGAGCCTAGCTAGGATTAAGGGTAGGAAGTGGCCTGGGGCCGTAGGGAGGTAAGACAATGGAGAGCAAGACTAGGTTAAGGGTAATAGAGAATTGGACTGTTGGAGTGTAGGCAATAACAAAATGCCAGTTGATGGGATTATAGCCTCAGGCAAACGCCAGAGATTTGACCACGTGGGAAAGTTCAGGGTTTTTCATTTTGGGGATCTAGATCCCATCCTCATCATTGTGATAGGTTCATGTAAGGGGGCAACAATATATTTTCTGACTTCTCATGCTAATCATTGAATCATAGATAAAATGATCTGGGCTCTATCGAAGTCAGAATAGGATGTAAACTTATTGAGAAAGACAGCTGTAGTGATAAAGTGTTGATGAGTTTGAATCCTGCCTGAGACACTTACTAGCTGAGTGACATGGAGTAGGCAAGCTACCTAAACTCTCTGGGAGTCAGTTCCTCACCCATAATATAAAGAATTTGGACCCTAATGACCTCTAAGTCCCTTCCAATTCTAAATTTTTTATCTTATTTTTGATTCCATTTTTATAGGATTTATTTATCTATTTATTTATTTATTTTTGCTTTGAATACTCAGTACAGTGACTTTCACATGACAGTTGGCAGAACTGAATAAATGCTTGTAGAATTGAACTAAATTGAATTGAAACTACACATGGCCAGAGAAATACACATAATCTCGGAGGTCACCAGACACTGGGTCACAAGCTTTTTAGTCTCTCTCTAGGAGTTGGTTCCCAGAATTCTACTCCTATAAATTGAATTTATTCAGCTACTAGTATTGATATACCTTTATTTCCATACTGCAAATGTCCTATAGTCTTAGTGTCTCAGTGATCTCAGCGGGCCTCTTCCAGCATCAGTCAAGAAGAATCCTTGTAATCTTTGCTGGAGTGATAAATATTTGTCATTCAATTCTATATAAAATCTCCTTATTTAAATACCTTCTGAACTATTAATCCACAGTATATGTCTCTCTCTGTTTTGTTTTGTTTTTCCTTCTAGGGAGCAGACACAGAAGAGAATTGCCTCATTGATATATTAGCATCAAGAACAAATGGAGAAATTTTCCAGATGAAAGAAGCATACTATTTGCGTAATGTTTAGATAATATATATACACATACATATATATGTAAAAATATGTGTGTGTATAATTACATGTACATGTCAGACTTTGCTGCAAATAAAGCAAATAGAAACTCTAATTTAAGTCTTGTTAACAAGTATTAAGTACCTACTATGTGCTAAGTATATGAAGTGTTCATGGAAATATGCTGCTCCTTTAAATATCTTTGAAAGTGGCATTTCACCAATGTATGGTGATGACACAAACCTGACTTGGTTCCATGGAGAAGTAGGTTAAATAAAAAATTCTCTGGGAATAGCAGTGCCTAATAGGCAAATTCTTCCCAAGTCAGAAAACTTATCAGTTTCTGATATCCTGAGGCACTTTATTCTTGGGAGGCAGTGGATTTGGAAATAATTAACCTGAGTTTGAATTCTAATTCTGCTACTTACTACTGGTGGCAATGAGCAAGTCACTTTACCTTTTAGGTCTCATTTTAGTCATTTTCAAAGTAGAGATATAGTCTGGATAACATCTAAGATCCCTTCTATTTTAAATCTATAATTCCATGATCTCATCAGCATGTGTTCACATGCTACCCAAAGGGAAAAGAGATGGTTTCTGCATAGACAAAATAGAGGGAAATTTAGCAATTTACCTGGTGAATTCTACAGTGATAGACAACCGGTAAAATAATTTACATCAATGAAATACTTTTCCTTTTGATATCTTTAATAAGTATCTGCACAATTGCCTCAAGTCATCATTCTACTTTATTTATACAGTAATAATCTATATGTCACCCCAATTCACCCAAAAATCAGATTTTCTGCAAATTTTCAAATAGAAATGTGAATTATTTTTCTTTCTAATAAGCTTGAATGCCATGGAAACTGCTCTATCATCCTTGATCTGAAATTGAATGTCAAGAGACATTCAAGGGACAATGGCTAGATAGTCATTATGTGTGTATGTGTATACACATGTGCATATACATACATGTACACACATATATGTATACACACATATATATTTACATTTGTATTATTATATTATTGTGTTTATGTTATGTATTTATATACATATATGGATGTATATAGAATTTTCCCAATGAAGTTTCTAGGAGGCACCATCACTTACAAAATTTAAAACAATACTAAGCATTCCAAGTATTTGCAGGAAGTCATCTGGGAGGCAATGGCTTCTCTGTTTCCTTATATCTCAAAAAATCTGAGATCCTTTTAAGTTTGAAATAAGCCATTACAAAATAGCTGCCAGTGGTGTTTATCAGTGCTTGTGAAAGGCTTATGAGTTAGCAGGAAAGGCCAACTGGTTGTTTTTTTGCTGTGATCGTTAATGATGACTTCTGAGGAGAAGGTATTAAAAGACATAAATGTCAACTGCCAGGATGTATTTTCCTGAGCTTTGAAGCTACTGCTTCTACAGAATTATCACTAGAGGATTCCAAGAGCATCACATGTTTAGGCCTATAATAAATCATTCCTTTTAACACAGGTTTTTTCTTCCCCAGAATACAATAGTGACCTTCAGCAAGACATTTACTCAGAGACTTCTGGACACTTCAGAGACACACTTATGAATCTGGACCAGGTACTATATTTTCAAACTCAAACATGAAGCACACTGTTCAGAAGCATGAGTACAGGTCAAAGCATGTTCACAGTTAAACTCAGAAGCACTGGTTTCTAACCTACTATTCAATACTTAATCACATTTAGAGGAATTGTTTAGTATAGAGAGTAAAATAATTTCCCAAAAGGATTAAAAGATTTGAAATTAGTGCTCTGTACAATTCTTATTTTCAATTGTGAAGAATTTTTAAAATTAATAGTTTTATTGGAAATTCTAAATTAAACATTGATACAAACTATAGTTTGTGGGTGGTACAATGGATAGAGTTCTAGGCATGGCAGGAAGACCTGAATTTAAATCTGGGCTGGGACACTTAGTAACTGTATAATCTTGGCAAATTCCTTAGCTCTGTGTGCCTCAGCTTCCTCATTTATTGCAAGGTTAAAATGACACAATGTTTGTAAAATGCTTTACAAACCTTGAAGTACTAAATAAATGCTAGCAATTATTATTATAGTTGCTTTAAAATTTTTACATTTTTGCATAGAATCATTACTTTTGACATATAAAAAAAATCATCACACTTTTACTTCCTCCCTCTAAGTCCCCAATGGTATTCTAGAATAGAAGCCTTTCTTTTTTCTTATTTACTTCTTTCTTTTCTTTCCTTCCTTTTTTTTTTTTAAGCAATGTTATTAAACTATTAAATCAAGGGTATGCCATAGACACTGTTACTGGGGGCTTTATAGACAGCTTTCAGAAAAGTATCTCATCAAATGTTTCATGCTAGTTTTGCGGACAAGGTGGAAAGATATAGGCTTGACATTAGTTCGGCTAGGTGAATTTAGAACTCATCACCTTCCTGGAAGCTGACATTGAATTATTAATTACACATTGGGTCCAGTGATTCGATGAATTGTAAATCTACCTAATTTAACTATCATCTAGTGCCCATCTTTCCATCATATCAACAAAAATAGCACAAAAGACTTTATCTGAAGGTCACTTCTTGTTGGTCTCTTTTCTGTCTTCTAACTCTAGATATTGAGGCAGTTTCACACTTCTAATTGGGCTTTTAATAATCAAGTTGACTCAGTTTGGGATTGCTTGGAACCCTGAAATGTCAGGGTACAGGGTGACATATACCTGGAATGAATTCAGGCACTCACACCATCTTCCAGTCCAGTGACAAAGTTTATTGTAATGCCAAAACCTGCAACTTAATGGAGGTGAGACTGTTGCTTTATATACAAAAGAGACTGTGATAGGATCTAAGTGAGATTAAGGAGTGGTAAGTAGTCTGGGATCGGCCAGGTGCAACAGTGAAAGGAAGATCCAGTAGGCTAATGAGGTGATCTAGTAGGGTGGGCCAGTGATATGGGCTGCTGGAATGTATGGGAAAATTCAGGAATTGGGTTGTTTCTAGAGACATGGCCTTTTAGGGGTCGGGGTCCCATAATCCCATCAAAATCATACTGCTATACCCCATCCTTTTATCACATTACAAAGTAGAAGAAAGAAATGAGACATATAATCCAAGATGCCAGAATTAGGAGGAGCAGGAGTGAGCTAGGAAAAATAATTGCTTTAAAACAGGGAAGGGATTAGAAAGAGGAAATAGGCTGCACTAGAAATATATTCCACAAATTAAGTCAAGGTTTTGCTGTAATTGTCAGATATTTTTTTTAACTGAACCCATGAATCCATTTGTATAATAAACTCCCAAAGAGGAATCTCCCTCCACCAATGCAAATTTGCACATTTTCAACAATTTATGGTCTTGTCCAATGCTTAAAGTACTGCACCACATTGACTCTCTAAATTCTTGTCCACATCGTCCCTTATATCCTACACTGAAATGCCATCCAATGTGTTAGAGGCCTTCCTTTTTGTCTTTAACATCTCATGAGTACCAGGGAGGACTCATATTGCCCATTACCCCTAATTCTTTCTACTCACTTGTCCCTCCTTTTCTTTTTTTTTTAATATTCTGATTAATATTTAATGAATCATTACATTACATATATATTATATCATGTATGACTATATTATATTATATAATTAATTGTTATAATATTAGTGTTGTTATTGATATAATTCTACATTACATATACATTATTATACATAACATATTATACATGACTTCCCTGCATTCTCCATCCTGACCAAACTGTCCTCTCTGTTCCTTTCTGAGTCTGCCCAGGCGACCACTCCTCTCCTACTCCCCCACCCCCAGAAGATAGGTAGGTACTTCTTCCTCCTGACCTCTGCCTCTTGGCATCCCCTACCAAAGCATCAGGTCTCACCTTTCCTGGCTCCCACTCCCTAACTACCAGTACCTCCATCCTGTCTCAAGAATTATCCTGTATTTAATTTTTATAAGTTTTGTATAGAATATAAGCTCCTTGAGGTCAGGGAATGTTCATTTTTGTCTTCATATCTTCAGCTCCTAGCACATAATAGGTACTTAAAAAATACCTTGGTGCCTGAGTACCTTGACTTTCTCTACAAAATGAAAGAAAAGGTCATTTGTGGGCAGAGAGGATGTTGGGGAATTAGGAGTTTGAGAAGAAAGGATATTTGGAAGGGCTGCTATGGAGAGTTCAATCAGAAATGACTAAGGTTTGCTGAGTAGCAGCCCCATTAAATTTAAACAGCTTTTGGACTGAGTAGAGATGACCAACTTAGCCCTTGTCTAGCTAGGCTTGAGGTTTGTGGAAACCTGACTCCCTAAACATGGCACTGGGAATCTTGGGGTCTAGTCTAAACATCCTGTGTGAGGGGGTAGGGGAAAGATATGTGGAGCGTGTGCAAGCATGTTGACATCTGTATCTCAGTGGAGGAAACAGAGTATGGTGGAAAAGAGGTTTCTTTTGCTTTTTTTTTGTTTTTTGCTAAGCAATGGGGTTAAGTGACTTGCCCAGGGTCACACAGCTAGTGTGTGTTATATGTCTGAGGATGGATTTGAACTCAGGTCCTCCTGACTTCAGGGCCAGTGCTCTATCCACTGCACCACCTAGCTGCCCCCATTTCTTTTGCTTTTGCTTTTGCTTGATGGTTATTAGGTTTCTGACAAATATTTGAATAAACAAGAAGAATTAAAAGATAAAGTCATGAATAAAACTACAAGAAGCGCATCGATTTCAGAATCAGGATTGGAGTCCTGCTCCCTTAATAGTTGAGTGGGAGGAAATCATTCAACTTTTTGGCCATCACTTTCCTCATCCTTCCAATCTTCTTTTCTTTGGCTAAACAGCCCTGTTCTGGTTCCTTTGGTTTCTGCTCATATGGCGTGAATTCAACACCCTTCATAATCCTGGCTGCCTTCTTTTGGACTTTCACCAGTTTATCAAGGTCCTACCTGAGTGTGCTGCCCAGATCTGACCACAACACTTACTGGACAATGGTCTGATTGAGGCAGAATGAACTCCTGGTTCTTCTTCTTCTTTTTTTTTTAATTAAATTTAATTTTTTTTTGTTTTTTAATTTTCAACATTCACTTTTATAAGATTTTGAGTTATCTAAATTTTTTTTCTCTCCTCCCCCCCAAGGCAGCAAGCAATCTGATATAGGTAATACGCTTACAATCATATTAAATATATTTCCACATTGCTTGCTGTTGTTTGTCCTTTGTTCTCCTGAAGAGGACCATGACATCAGGGAGGTGATGCCATGACATACAAGCGAATTGGATTTAAGTGAGGGAGGGATGTGCAAAGGTACCAGCCTCACTTTCTCCTCCAGAGCCATCTGAGTCCAGATGTGGGCCAGATATGGATCAGGACAACTCCCTCCTCTTTTTCTAAGCATAGGATTGTAGAATCATAATCCTAGAGCTGTAAGGAAACTAAGAGGCCATTGGATCCAATCCCATAATTTTACAGATGAGAAAATCAAGGCCTGGAGAGATTAAGTGACTTGCTCAAGTCAAGGAAAGGAAGGATACTTTAAATGAAGTAAAATGGTAGACACTATCTATGATTCTTGGATTATACATATTTATCCACCAATTTCTTACCTATCTTTGGTAACATGTTGCATCTTACTTCTTGCAATTATGATCAATCTCTGCATTGCTCTTTTGATCACCTGCAGTCTTGCTATTGATCTGATGTGATTATTTTAAAGTTTACTTATGTTCTGAATCATAACACTAGGAAATGGATGATTCAGGACTCTAATCTCTATTTGCGACCTTAAATAGTTTCTTTCTAACTTCCTCACTTCTTCCATAGCAAGCTCAAGTTAATCTGTGAAATATCTGTGAAGTAATCTGTGAAAATAATAATCTATGAAATAGAGGATGAAAGTCTTTTTTTTTCTCTTACAAACAGGGAGTCAGAGATAGAAGAGGAATCAGCCATAAAAGCCATAGTAGAAGCTATATAATTGTGGTGGAAGGAGAACTGGGAAACAGTACTGTCATATAAACCAAGAGAAGAGAGGTTATCAAGGAACAGAGTAGTCAATAGTGTCAAATGTCCTAGAGAGGACAAGGAGTATTAGCATTGAGAAAAAAAAAAGAAGAGTCAATATGGAGAAGTGGAAAAGGTACTAGATTTTATTTCAGTGAATATGGGCTTTAATCCCCACTTTTATTTGCTATAGATTTACAATTATATTATAAACTCATTATATACTAATGTATTTATCATACATACAAATAACTATATATTATATACTAATTATATTACATATGACTACATAATATAATTAGCATATTATATATAGCTCAATGCTAATATATGATATAATTAATATGTAACTAGTTATTTCTATATTAATTAGTATATCAATAATGACTATATTAGTTACACTTATAATTATATTGGCTATAGTCATAGTCAAATTACTAACTATGTGACCTTAGGCAACTCACTTTACTCTCATAGGCCTTGGTTTCTTTATTTATAAAATGGGAGAGGGGAGTTGAATTAGATGATCTTTAAATCTCCATCCAACTCTAAACACTACAGTCCTATGTGATTTGCTGACTATTTGAAAATGCAGCTTCAGTG